CAGCTGCCATTTTGGCAACCAATCAATTTTTGACACAACACCGGCACAAGTTTCCGGGTGGTCAGCAGTAATGCATAATAGATGCGACTTACATGGCGAAGCGACTTATTTATGTTTTTTTCCCCACTTTAATAGACATTTCTGGACTGATATGACTTATACGGCGGTGCAATTTGTACAGCGGAAAATACGGTAAACTTTAAAAGGATTGGATTTTATGGTACATAGTGGTTTATCTTCTAATGTATTGTGCAAAATTTGCTGTTTCTGATATGATTCTGCATCTTCTGATCACATATTGTTGGGGGGGTTGCTCATTTTATAAATGATAATTTCCTATTTCATTTTCTGTGCCTTGGATTATTTAGTATATAATTTGGATTACTTTGTATTTCTTTGTGCTCTTTGTGTTGACGTGTGATTATTTTTGCATTCTTTACTGATCAGTGACCTAATATATTTTAATATTTTACATATTTTGTTACTTTTATGTTACATGTTGTTCAGTTTGCATGTATTATTTTTTCCCCTGTGATCATTTTGTCTACCTTTGTGGTCTTTCTATAGTAGTTTTTCCTTTGCCTCTTTATTTTTCTGTCATTGTGTGATATCTTTTTTCCTCAGCTCCAAATGTTATCAGTCCCTTTGAGCAATGATTTATTTTTTATTTTTTTTCAGAATACTTTTTTTTACATTGCACTGCTAAAATCAGGACACTGGTATTATTTCTAAACTCTCATGCACACAAATCATGAAGGCATGAAATCTTACAGGCATGGTTTTAGTTCAGGAGTAATGTCAACATACAATAAATAATTAGAGACTCACCTTCTGAAACAACAAATTCTTCTTCCAGAGAATGCTTCAAATTAAGAAAGTGAAGAAAGACTCCAAAAATACAAAATGGCAGCACCTACCAATCGGGCATTTTGGCTTCAATAGGGTCGTATTGATTTATTTTTATTTTTATTATGCCTGCTGCATGGCTATAACACATTGGAGCTGATTTATCATAAAAACCTCAATATCAGAATCACGCATTTGTCTAATATTGTGTAGCTTTAAAGCAGGTGTGTCAAACTCTTTTTTCTTTTAAAATGGGGGGGGGGGGGTGTCAACATTAAAAACCCAAACTAAGTCAGATACATGACATCTCTTCTTGATTGAAGGTTTATTTGATGTTCTCAGTTGCTCTTTCCACATGAAAATCAAAGTTTACACCAAAATGCAAACTACTTTTTCTTTGCTTCAAAGTTAACCACCTGTCATAAGAAGTCTGCACTAAATAACGTATGCTAATTTTTGTTAAGCAAAATGATAAATAATGTTTTACATCACTGGCAGTAGTCCATCTGAAGCTTAACTGAACTTTTTACCTCTTTTAAAGCCGGACAGTGTGCGGTCAAATGGCTGCATGCAGCTGGTGAATGTATGGCAAGCCATTTTGCCTTGTAATTGTACGATCAGCCGCGTGAGTCCGCTGACACAATCAAAAGCCCAACATTGACCCAGCCTGCACATTAAGCACATTATTGTGGCCCAGCCCAGACCTAATCCGGGGCAGGTGGGGCCAGGCACTGGGTTCGGGTTAGAAATGACAGCTCTAGTGGGAATACAGTGTAGACTTATAGAGAGAAATCTACAAAATTGCAGTGCATGTCCGAAGTATTTTATTTTTCATTAACTTTTTACTGCACAGTATCCCATATTGTACCAATCTCGTAAGTAATATTAAAGTTGACAGTCATGTGTCCTGTACAATTTTATTTTTCTCGTGTTCAATCTTACTTTGAAAAACCGCAATAGTGACTCCGCAAAAGTTGAACCACGAAGTACTACTGTAAACCAAACGCATCATTTGTCTTCTGTGTGTCCTACGTTTGGGGCTCCTACACATGCAAAAACAAATGTTATACCAAGAAATGGCGGCAAATCATCTGCAGAGCCATTACAGTCGGCAACCACAAGAGGGCGGACTAAACTGAAATGGCACCAAACTTTCATACAATGGGGACAATAAAACAAAAGAACTTTGATTTTGTATTCAAAACCAAAAATAAAAGTCACAATAACATTGTAAAATTGATACCAACCAACATAACAAAATATTTATAACTTACGTAGCTACATTTTCGAAGACAAATAAAAAAACACCAACATCGTCCCAACATTACTTACCATTGCAATGCATGGTGGCAAAGTGAGGGAGAAGAAGCTACAAGAACGAAATGGATGACATCACTTCCACCTTTGATACATTTCAGAATAAAAGACAATACAATAAAATTCACAAACATTATTAACACAAATAAAAACTTTGCAGTGCATTTTTAACTCCGTTACACTGGCATCCCCTTTGTTATGTTTTACCCAGAGGTATGTAGTTGATAGTAAGTGCTGGCAACATTCACTTTTTTCTATCTTGGAAATCTTTTCCCAGACACCACCACTCTGCTTCCTCTGAGTCACCCTTCATATTAATGTCTCATCTCCTTTTCTGACATACAGGCTACTGAATACACACATAAGAGCACACCTAAGCAGGAAAGTTCATTCAGTCCTCCATCTCTGATTACTCCTGGCGACGTGTGACCTCCAGCTGTCAACACTGATTCGGTAGTGAACGTTCTGTTTGCTCAACCCCAGGATCACTTAGGGCCACAGCTCTATTCAGTCAGGTCCACCGGGAGCCTCACTTCACCGCCCTGCCTTCATTTAGTCATTATTTCAATCGAAGGCAGGACCTGCCACTCGTTCCCGACTGAGCTGAGAGCCCAGTGCGTTTTGAGAGTTGCTCAGCTTCCATCTGAAAATTCAGAATTTCTTTTTCACATGAATCCATTTAAAGGTAGAAGGTAAGTGAGAGGTGCCCAGAGGACTCCGACTGAAACTTCTGTATGTTAATGCTGCCAGTTGAGCTGCTCTGAGGTGCAGTAGACCTGGAAAATGTACACATTTCTTCGGCACTCACGAGACCACAGGTGCTGACAGGTGACACGTATTGCTTGAAAGCCTGAGGGCATAAACAGCTGAGGAAATGTGTTTTGTTTACTCACACTTCAACTTTAGTCGTGGTTTATTGTACTTTTTAACACACAGGAAACTATAAATTGCCACATAAAGCATTTTCCCTAACCAAAGGTGTTTGTAACCTGAATCGCAAGTTGAAAACACTTTATAATGAAGACATTGATTTGTTTAGGAGACTTGGTATATTCAAGTATCTTTATTGTCATTCACATCACATGTGGTACATGACATGGAATGCAATTGTGTACGCCAGGTCCCAGTTACATCCAAAAATAGCAAAAAAGGATAAAAAGAAACCGTACATAAGGATCTAAGATACACGCTAAATGAATGCTAAACGGTATGCTAAGAGATCGAAGATATAAGCTAAACACTATTAATGTAAAACTAATAGAAAATATGATTTTAACATCCTTGGTTCAAGTTCAAAAAATCTTTATTATCCCTAAGGGGCAATTTGTTTCACAGTCAGTAGTCACACAAAACATCCATACTAGACAGTTGAGACATTAAAATAACAGAAATCATCACTGTTAGTTGAGAAGCCTGATCGCTACAGGGATGAATGAGTTATTCAGTCTGTTCGTTCTACATCTGGGCAGCAGATACCTGCATCCAGATGGAAGCAACTTGAATTTGTCATGGAGTGGATGATCAGGATCTGCCAGTATAAGCCTGGCCTTGTTCAACGACCTCACCTTGTGTATGTCAGTGAGGTTCTGTAGGGCTATGCCAGCAGTGTTGCTGCACATCCTGACAATCCCCAAGAGTTTCTTCATATTTTTGCATGGCAAAAGTCCAAACCAACAGATGAAGGTGAAAATTAGGAAACTCAATAAAATATTCTCATAAAAGTAGAACAACATTAAAACCACAGAGCTTCCAATAAAAATACATTCTCTGGTGGTCCTTCTTACAAAGTGAGTTCATATTAGGGGTTGAACGAGTATATAATTTTTAAAGTCGACATTAACGTAATAAAACCCGAGTAGAACTCGAGTATTTGATGACGTCATAGATCTCAAGATACAAAAATAAATAAATAAATAAATAAAACCGCAATTAAAGGTAATTATTTACAAAAAAAAAATAACAACAAAACATTGGGAGCGTATATTATGCTCCTACCATTTATCATACTGCAAATAAGTCACAGGAAAAACTAAACTATTAGTTATTATTATTAAACTGCAAACGTGAAGAAACGTGCAGCACGTCAAAAACGAAAATTAAACCGAAACTGGTTCTGGTTCGGAGGATTGGACCCGGTGTTACACCATACTCTGTGACCTGCAACAGTGCAACACCGCCCCCTACGGTCATACGGTGGTCACATAATATGACGTCACTACGGATACTCGATGTTAAATTTTTAACCTCGATAGATGTCCTAGCAATCGATGTGTAGGTTACTCGAGTACTCTGTTAATGCCCTAGTTCATATGTGCATCAAAGGTCAGTTTGTCATCAAAAACAGTTCCCAGATATTTATACTGATGTACCACCTCAAGAGTTTCACCATTAATGACCACAGGAGTGGCAACTGAAGTGTCTTTCCTAAAATCAATGACCATCTCCTTTGTCTCCATTCTTGTTAAGAATCACAGATAAGTTTGGTACCTTTCCAGTTGGCTTTGAAAGTATTCACTGACACAATTCTGAAAAAAGTTTTCTAGGTTTTCAGGTTTTGTTTGGTTTCCACTCAGAACAATATTGTTGCTCCCTAAGTGTATAAAAATAAGAGTTATGTAGCGAGGAAGCTGACCTTCAGCCTCAGCTCTGTAGGAACCCTACCTGCAGACTTGTCCTTCAACAAGACAAGGAATCCCTGCCGCTTCCTGAGACGTAGCGCTCCACCTGACCATGACCTTTGTTTCATATCATGTAGAAAAAAAACACTTTAAATTCAGATTGCTAACTAGTCTTTGTTACTTGTTGTGTGTGTTGTGTTGTGTGTTTCACTGCCTTAGCAGAATCCCTGTTCAGCGGCCTGGGGCTCGGTGCGGTGGTGGGCCTTGGTCTGGGGGCGCTGCTGTTGCTCCTTGTGTTGGTGGACGTCAGCTGCTTCTTCCTGCGTCACTGCGGCCTGCTGATGTGCATCACACGCACGCTATGCAGCAAGAAAACAGCCACCAGTGGCAAAGGCAAAGAAATGGAAGAGGGCAAGGCTGCCTACCTGTGAGTATTCATGGTATTTTACTTCTTCAGGGGCCTAAAACTCCTTAGATCAATTGTTTTGGTTACCGTAGTACAGTGCCTTGGAAAAGTACTCATACTCATTGAACTTTTCCATATTTTATCACATTACAAGTAGAAAATACAACATAATCTACTGGGATTATATTTCATAAACCAATACGAGTAGTACATAAGTGTGAAAGTGGGCGGAAAATTACGTTGGGTTTTTTTTTTGTTGCAAAAATCTGAAATTTGTATCTACATTTGTATGTCAACCCCCTTAAAATAGAGCCATAGTCATTTCAGTATACATTAGTCCCTCATTTATCGCTAGGGCTACGTTTCAGACACTCCCACGATAGGTGAAAATCTGCGAAGTTGGGACATTATATTTATTTTATTATTTATGTATATATTAAGGCTTTATAAGCACATCCCACACTCTTGAAATGTTAACAATGTTCTAAACTCTTAAACCTATGTCATTTTAACAACATTCAAATGCAATGTACAGTACTGCAAAATTTTATATGGGTACTCCAGTGAAGGTACTACAACTTGTAGGATGAGTTCAGCTTCAGGATTATTTGAGACTTTCCTGCCAGTTCTGTGAGCTTCATAGATTGATTGTTACTTCTGATCTTGCGTTGCAAAACTTGTTTAACCAATTCGGTTTCTCCGCTAGTATTTGCTCCCTCCATTGCTGTTCTTTGAATTTCGGCAGAAAGCAGTGGCCAGAAGCACTGTTGGCTTCTGTGTAGTGTAGTTCTTTTGACTTGTGTTACAGTATAGGCTTACTGAAAGAAAACTACAAAATGGTGTCGCATGTTTGTAGTATTTTTTTTGTTTTGTTTTTGTGCTTTGTCCTATTGGTTTTTTTCCACTCCCTTCCGCTCCCGTTAACCTTTTATCCCATACCTTTCCAATCACGCAAATAAAATTAAAGTTGACAATTGTGTATCATGTACAATCTTACATTGAGAACCCATGAAGGAGTGACTCCGCGGATGTCGAACCGTGAAGTATCGAGGGACTACTGTACTGTGCAACTGTTTTGTGAAGGCCGTAGAGGTTCATTGCAGAACATTAGTGATCAGAGAGCATCATGAAGTCCAAGGAACACACTGGACATTCAGGACTAGGGTTGCTGAGATGCTTAAAGCAAGGTTAGCTTATAAAATAATACCCCAAATTTTATGCTGTCACATTGTACTGTATTTTCCGTCGTAAACATCACATCGGTCCATAATTTGTCTAATAAAGTGGAAAAATCCATAAATATGTTGCTTTGCCGTATACGTCGCATCTATTATGAGTCACCACTGATGCATCATGTTTGTTACACGTCACCGCTGACAACCCGGAAATGTGGGCCGGTGTTGTGCCAAAATTCAATTGGCTGCCAAATGGCGGCCGTGGGGGGGCGTGCACAGGAAGACTTTAACAAGAATTTTACAAAATTAACACTAAAAACTATTATTTGTTTGCTTGAAATTATAGTAAAGGTGTGTCTGAGCCTAATTTTTCCTTAATGAATGCACTTTGATGGTCAAATCAGCTGTATTTCAAAACACGATATGCGGAAACATGAACGTGTAGAGGGTGACTCGCTGTCCATTTCTTCGAAATTTAACAAGATAACCACCTAAAAACAATTATTTGTTTGCTCGACTTTGTGTCTCACTTGAACTACTTAATAAATGCACTTCAGTGGTCAAATTAGCTGCATTTCGTCGGGGCGGTGCAGCGAAATGAAGCTGATTTGACGGTTGCTCCAAGCAGACGATGGTGGCAGACTATGGCAAGTCGACTGTCATTAATAGCCACTTTTACCTATTACATGATACAACGGCATGTCATAGTACTCGAGTGCCCTCTAGCGGCTGAAAATGGTAGTGTTTAATATATTTAGTCAGAATGAATGAAAACCGTCATATCTCAGCCAAAAATTGGTTTATAAATATGGGGAAAAAATCCATAAATACATTTCTTCATCATATAAGTCACAGGGCATGTAAATTATGCAAAAAACTGCGAATTATAGGGCGAAAAATGCAGTACTGTTCAACCCATCCTCTGAAAATGAAAAGCATATTGAACAACTGTAAAACTTAAACCATGCACCTAAATTAACAGGCCAGGCGATGACAGCATTAATCCGAGAAGCAGCCAAGAAAGCTCATGGTTACTCTGAAAGAGCTGCGAAAAACTACAAATTTATGTTTATGGAAAACTTTGAAAACGACGTATAATTTCCTTTCCACTTCACATTTATATGCCACTTTGTGTCGGCCTATCACATAACATCCTTGTGATTTTAGCATAGCAAAATGTGGGAAAGTTCAAGCGGCATGCATTCTTTTTTAAAGCACTGAAACGAGATCAATGTTTGCGAGTCATTAGGTCTTTCATGCTTGCAGAGGGAACATCTGCTGTGGGTGTATCTTAGCACTTTGCTGCTTTCTGCTGTGTAACTTTTAGTCATAATTAAACTTACCCAAACTCTCATAGGAGTTAGCTCAAACATATAAAATGACCAATTTCTTGCAAAAAAAACAAACTATAATTGATTTTTTTTACTTTTATATTTGATCAAAGATTCACCTGCAGTGTAATTGTTTAATCTTTGCAAGATTACAGAAATAGAAATGCAACTTTTTTTTGTCATGTAAAGCCTATATTCCTCCTATATTTGCAACAAACGAGAAAAGGAGATTTCTTTTTACTATTTACTGTAGGTACACCTACAACAGCCGCCCAACCACCCTTTCAACCACAGTATGTCTCTGATTATGTCTTCCTCACTAACGTCTGTGCCTCTCATTCACTGTGCGGCAAGTTCGCCTCGCTCATTTGCATGGATTGTGTGTCTTTGCACCTGATGTGCGCGTGCGTTGGTGGTGGTGTTGCTTCACGCTCAGTACCTCTGTATGCACAACATGCATGCCAAAGTCTCTCTAGAAACGTCTCACCGCATGCGCCATTCGTAAAAGCGAACACATTCTCCACTTTCCGTTGCCTCTCGACTCCCAGCATGCAGTGTATGAGCCCACCCCGCCTCAAAACTCACAGAACAATTGCTTTTCAGATTTAGTCCTGTTGCTTTATGCGGGGTGCCAGCCGAAGTGAGGTTTCGCGAGCTGGAAACCCACAAAGTCAGATTCACAGGCTTCAGCAGAGCTCGTTTGGTTTTGGATCTGTCTGAGTGCGAGCTGAGTGCTTGAAATGCTGAAAGAGGGCACAGAGGAGGAGAGGAAGAGGATGTGAAGGCAAGGGGGAGAGGTGGGGGGTCATTTTTGCTGAGTCACTAAGCTCACAGTGTTGCAGGGCTGAGTTAGCAGCTGCTCAGACAGCATACAGAATGTGGCTGGCTGAAATTCAACCTAACTTAGTCGAATAAAAGCGAACAGAAGCAGCATAGAACGTCCGCATTGTGAAGAAGAGTGATGCAGAAAGTTCTGTACAAGCCAAGGCTGAGCGGTGTTTGTTGTTTTACAGCCTGTGAATAGACACGTATTGACTCTGCTGGACGTTTTAACACTGAGCTCATGAGGCGTTCAGGTAAAACGGAAACAGCCCTGCAGGCCCTTCATTTCAGGGCAAGAAGATACAGAGTGCAAAGAGTTACAAAATGCACCACCTTTGCGTTTAAAATGGACAAAATATAAAATAGTGCATTTTTATATATTATAAAAACATGGATTAAACATCCCTTTATAAAATACAACCATCAACTAGAAGCACACCAATAATCACACTATATCGAAACATAAAAAATTGAACAACATTTTTTTTTCTGTTGCGCTTCCTGAAACGATAGCTTCTACTGTAGTCCCTCGATTATTGCGGGGGTTATGATCCAGACACCTCCACAATAGGTAAAAAAACCGCCAAGTAGGAAAGCTATGTTTATTTTATTATGTATATGTATTTAAGGTTTTATAAACACTTCCCACACTCTTGCAATGTTCTAAGCTCTTAAACCTACGTAATTTTTTTTAAATACGTAGAGTATATGTACTTTACAGTACTGCAAAATTTTATATGGCTACTCGCGAGCCTTGGTCCGGTTCTGATCGGCTCTCTGCTGGACCTTCTGAGAACAGAGCACAAAACCACACAATGGTCCCGATAGAGTCCAAATAATCCAGAGGGATCCGGATGAAAAAAGTCCCCGTGAGCTCCGGAGAAAACACCGGAACTCCAAGTAATGCCTCCCCACTCGAGAGGCTTCATGAGCCAACAAGCAGCACTCGGATTGACCGATGGGACTGGAAGTAGTTCTGGTCTAATTACTGTTCGGTTCCGTATGGCTCTCTGCATCCACTGAGAACTGAAGTCACTATGAATAAGGACCGAATTTTTAGTCAAGTTTGGATCGGATCAAAACTTTCCCTCCATTTCGGCAGAAAGTAGCAGCCGGAAGCACTGTTGGCTTTTGGGTAGTGTAGTTCTTTGATTGGTATGACAGTATAGGCTTACTGAAAGAAAACTACAAGATGGCGGCGCCTGTCCGAATATTTCTTTTTCTGTTATATTTTTATCCCCTACCGTTCCAACCACGTGAGTAATATTAAAGTTGACAATTGTTGAAAAACTGCAAAAGTCCACGAATGTCGAACCTCAAAGTAGCACGGGACTACTGTATTTCATTTTCACGTTTACTGTCAAAACTATTGGGTCGTTTTCTTTTGACACTTTTTGTTTTGCAAGAAGAAAAAAAAATCATTGCAACTGTTTAACATCTGCTGATGGTACATTCATCATATGCAAAAGTCTGTCGATCTGTCCATCCAGCTATCCGTCTATCCATCTATCCACACATCTGTCCATCTGTTCACCCATCCATTCATCTGTCCATCCATCCATCCACCCACCCATTCATCATCCATCCATTTATCCATCCATTCATCCACCCATCCATCCAGCTATCCACACATGTGTCCATCTGTTCACCCATCCATTCATCCGTCCATCCATCCATCTGTCCATCCATCCAC